GTGTGTGTGTTATATTCGTTGTAATATTAAATTAGAGGAGCAGATTTAAATTAACTGTTTTAAAAATATTATACAAGATGTAAATGTTCGATATTTTTAATAGTAATTAAAAGAGTGAAATCTAACACATTTTAACATCATCGAAAAAGTTACATGAGAAATTTTATTCAACACGAATTTTTTATATTGGTATATAAATAATTAAATAACAATTTGAATGCATATAGAAAAAAATCTTTAACAAATGTTTGCTCATGGATTGACAAGCAGCGATTTGGACAAACATTATTGATTATTATGAACAAAATAAAAAAAAGCGCTCTAAATAATTCGATTTTATCTAAGCTTTCATCCATCATCTTCTCTCAGTAATCAGTTGCATCGGGACCTGAAAAATAAAAAATTGTATTTTTAAAATTATTTTTGTCTTTTTCAGTGTACAGAAACAAAACAAAATTAAGAAGTATATACATATGATACATACATATTACATACATACTACATACATTTCATTATGTATATATTATATAATAAAAAAAATGGTATTTGTTAAGTCGTTTAATTTCTTCTTATACCATCTTTTTCTACCATCACAAGTGCAATAGATATCTATACATTTCCAGGACATATCCTATATACAGGATAGACAAATAATACTTAATCATCTTAATTATTTCTGTTTTTACTGAATCAGTTAAAATTATTATTTTTTTTAAATTTTAATTTAAAAGGGTTTACGAACTGATGCATTTTCTTTTATTTTGATGATATTAGAAACGATTTAAGTCCCATTCGTTTCTTTGCTATTAGTATTATTATTACTGTTACTATTCATTTATAGAATATGTTCAAAATGTCGTTTCTTTTAATACTCTTCTGGATATGTGATTTATATTAATATACTATCATGAAAGTAAGGTATTTTGAGTGATGATATTTGAATATATTTTATAAATATTTCTAAACATTTTTCTTTTAAAACATGTTCCTTATCATATTTTAATTTAGTAGAAATGAAAATAATTAAAGTGATTAAGTTGCTTTAACCTGTATAATATCCATGTGTATGTGTATGTGTGTGTTTTGTGTAAATGTGTGTAAGTTAAGTAATATAAACTTTTAAATAAAATTTCAGAGTTATTTATTCAATACCAAAATTTAAAGGATTACTAAATTTCTGTAGAAAAATTATTGATTTATGAATTTTTATTGTGAAAAAAATTAGACAATCATTTTTCTGGAAACTTAAAGAACAAAGTCTCCACTTTTATGTTCTAGGTTAATTTTTCTCAAAGATGTTTTTAGACGGCAGAGCAGGAAATGTAAGAAGGATTTTAATCTTAAGAATTTTGCAAATTTAAATGAATTTATTGAATTGCAAAAACTTTGCAACTCAAATTTGCATGCATTTAAGTAAAGATTAAAGCCTGTCTTTTAAGGAGATGCTGAACTTTGTTGAACATTATCAAGTATGCAGTATTTTTTAAAAAACTTTTTTTGTTTATATATATATATATATATATAATATAGAATTATATATATACACATATATATATATATATATATATATATATATATATTATTATACTATA